TAATGTAGGAGACTACTTTAAACTTTACTAGCTAGTGATTGTAAATTAACGTTGTCCAGTGTTTGACGGTCCTTTAAGATGTTCTCCGTAAATTGTTACAGTTTTAGGTATACTCTAACTAATGCATTATATGTTCAGATTTGATAAACAGAGAATCTTTGTTTGGCTTCCAATAGAACGTGTCCAAATAATCTGTCTAAATTGCGAATTTTTTCCTTTTCACCCTTTTGAAAAAAGGCAATAGTGAAAGGTTACGAATGGACGTTTTTGCAGAAAAACGTGGATTTTGGAAATAGCGGTAGGTGGGTCAAATATATGTCGTGTTCCTTACTTGCTTCCGTTCGTTTCCATGTCAACTTGCCGCGCGCACGCGCACGGGGATTGCTTGCGGAGATGTGGTGTATAGCTAGTCTGTGGTCAATGAATGCGCGGCACTAGCGTATTTTAATGTATACTAGTAATGTATAGTATTTTGTAATAAGCCCAACTTGAATGTGGCACGCGTAGTCTACTGATGTTTCAATATTATTATTATAAGGTGAGCTGATTAGAGCTTATATTAATAGTTATAGTGAAATGGAAATCTAGCGTCCACCAAAACGAAACAACGGGCGCAATTCTTGTTATCATACTCCTCATACTTTTACCTTGTATTGTCACTTTGACGGATTTCTTCCTAATTTGGTGTACTACTTTTTAAAAACAGCGTAAAACCTGAATTAAAAAGAAATTGTCTATATACTTAAGATCTCTGCAGTAGTTCTAACTTCTAGCTAAATCTAGCTCGTTGACAGACCAAACGCTCAGATCTCATTGGCTGAAAATACTGCAATCGCATTGGCTAAGATCGATCAGGTGACACGATTCCCTGCTCCTGATTGGCTAAGATCGATCAGGTGACACGATTCTCTGCTTCTTATTGGCTGATGACAGGGGTTGTTATCACTTATGTAATTACACGAGTGAGTTAGGAGTTTTCTTAGTGTATTGGTTAGTATCTCTGTTAGTAAGTTAGTAGTTGCGTAGACACGACTGGTTTATTGCTGTGGTAATTGGTTGATGTTTCTAATTTCTTGTGTTCTTGACACTCCGACAAAGGGAAACTGCTCTTTTTAGATAACTGTTATTAGCGTTGTCCAATGTTTGAAATTCCTTTAAAGCTTTAAGACATTCTCCGTGAACTTAGCTAATAGTTGAAGTTTAAAGTACTCTAACTTAATAATGCTTTTATTATAAGATTTGTTTTGAGTAGGTTTAATCACTTTCACTTGTAAAATGTAACCTCCCTGACACGTGATGCCCTTATATGGCAATGTCACCTCCCAGCTCCCTGACTCCCCACCAGTATCCAATTCTTTCGTCTACCCTTGTTAAATTATATAATGGTACGCATACCTTATATAACGATACGTGTGTCATTTCGTCAATTAATTTCCCTCTCAAGTACACTGTTTCTCTTGCACATTGCTTTTGGTTTCATCCTCTTTTGCTTTCATACTCTTTTGCTTTCATACTCATGAACTTGAGAATTTAAGAGTCTGGCTTGAAAGTTGGACACTGAACATACATTGCGCCGTAAAATTGATAATCTGTCTTGTGGTGTTTGATAACTATTTACTTATTTACTATCATAAACTCATAAACTGTACTGTTTATCCTTAGCATACTAGTCAGACAGGGTAACTTAATGATAAACTTAATGATAAATGATAATCCACCAATCCTGTACGATCGTTATAATGATGATATACCTATTATCTTGTACCTATTAATATATTGACTTGGTAGTTAGGTAATTTGCACTACGGTCTACGTATTAGCTTAGTGTATAATAGGGCCTCACTATAGTCGCTGTAGTGTAGTTACTATTTAGGTAATGTACACTACCCAGTAATACTACACTCAACAATCAAGCTTAAAGTCTCCGTTATTTGATAATCACGGGTTCAAATTTATAAACCAACATTGTAAGCCTTGAAATATAGCACAACCCTTTGATCATTCCACCGACCAAATAACCAGTATTTAAAATCTTTTAGACTCGACTAAAGACCGCTACAACTAATATCAGTTCAAAGGAACGAATCGCCGAAGAGTCGTAATTGTTTGCTTGTTTGTTTGTTTGTAGATGGAAGACGTTGTATAGGGTGACTGCAACGCCGCCCGTATTCGGGGTTTTATTCGGGATTTTATTCGGGGTTTTATTCGGGGTTTTATGATTCCTAACTCACGCTCAGTCTTATGAGATCTATGTTTGCAATTTAACAAAATGCACAATTTCTCTTATATCAATTCAATAGCGACCACTGTGTTCAAACCGCATCTTTGCAAGGCTTAGCAACGCCTAGCAACGCCTAGCAACGCCTAGCAACCGCTTAGCACTATCGCTATGTGCGTGTCGTAATCATTTGGTTCGAATACTATAGAACAAAATGACACTTTTCTTATGATGTAGTTGTGTCATGATGTAGACGCGTCATGGTTATGTACGTCATTAGTTAAGAAAATAGAAACTGAATTAGTTATTTACACCTTATTCAATGATATTATGTAGTTCTCTCTTTAACTGTGCTCACATCAGCTCTTTTACTTATTAAGTTATTAAATAAATCTGTTTTTTGTTTTCTTGCTTTAACTTTTTACGAACGACCCTCAAAATTAGCCAATATTTCTCTACACAGGAGCTAACCTCACATGACTATATTTTCACAAATATTATATCACTATTATTACTATATATAATAATCATGTTTTATCCTGTGTACGTGTAGGCTGCTAATTCAATAACCACAATTCAACATATTTTAGTATTTGACCACGACTGCATTCTACTACTCTATCGAACAGTATCAGTTTAGTTGTAATGTTTTAACTCTCAGTCTCTGTGGGCACTCAGCTGGCAACTGGTTTAAAAGTTGAACAGTTTTCACTTGATAATGTGGTGGTATTTCACGTGTGACGTCATAACGCAGTGGTATTTCACATGTTACGTCATAACGCAGCTGATGTCGTGTTAAAATGTGTTAAAATATTGTGTAAAAAAGGCGCAAACCTTTGTGAACTGTGCATACTTTAAAATGGTGCTGTCCTTGTACTGTTCAATTAAAGACTTAGTGAGTTTACATTTAATTATTTAGTTAATTATTATACTTATTACTTATTTATTTACTTAACTACTGTAATTGTTAGCCGTTACAAGTTTCTATTTCTCGATGCACACAACTACTAGCTATTTTACATCTTTACTCTTAACGTTACTAATTTACTAGCACTACGAACCTGATTGTACAATGAGTAGTTAGATTCTGACGAAGGTCGTATGATGTATAATAGTCGCCATGGTGACGATTGCCTGACGTATAATGCGCGTAGTAGAGACTAGGCACTAGTTCTAGATACTGATCGGGAGCTGTGGATTGTTTATAGCACGTGATAACGATTAACCAATCATCTTCCATTATTGATCAATAGAAACACAAATTTATAGTTACCCAACAACCTAGTGACGTAAAATGGGTGTTAACAGCACCAGAATAGTTATCATAGTTACTATAGTTACCATAGTTACCATAGTTACCATAGTTACCATAGTTACCATAGTTACCATAGTTAATAGGACTGCAATAGTATTATAAGTAGGCTGATTACCATTGGATAAATGTATAAGTTTCTAATTTGACAGTGGCAGTAACTCTTCTTGGTTTATTGATCAGAATGTTTGAGTATACAGCTATATTTCTTGCAATATATCAGATTGCACAACTGTATAATCTTATAATACAGTTATTGCACTCTGCCTTTGTTCTATTAGTGTACTGACGTAAAATAAACGTAATACCGTATGTATTATGATATGAAGTAGTAAAGGTGTGTTGACTAAGGCGCACTGCAATAGCGTTGCAGTTAAGCAGTAGGTAGTTCTCAGCAAGTTCTCAGTAAGTTCTCAGTAAGTTCTCAGTAAGTTCTCAGCAAGTTCTCAGCAAGTTCTCAGTAAGTTCTCAGTAAGTTCTCAGCAAGTTCTCAGCAAGTTCTCAGTAAGTTATCAGTAAGTTCTCAGCAAGTTCTCAGCAAGTTCTCAGCAAGTTCTCAGCAAGTTCTCAGTAAGTTCTCAGTAAGTTCTCAGTAAGTTCTCAGCAAGTTCTCAGCAAGTTCTCAGCAAGTTCTCAATAAGTTCTCAGCAAGTTCTCAATAAGTTCTCAGTAAGTTCTCAGCAAGATCTCAGCAAGTTCTCAGTAAGTTCTCAGTAAGTTCTCAGTAAGTTCTCAGTAAGTTCTCAGTAAGTTCTCAGCAAGTTCTCAGCAAGTTCTCAGTAAGTTCTCAGCAAGTTCTCAGTAAGTTGTCAGTAGTTGTTAGTGGATAATGAGTAGCGATGTGAGTAGTACTAACGTAAAATATGCGGCAGAGTAGTAACTACGTAGTGGTGGGCTGCTCTCATACATATCTTACTGTTAACATTCCTCATAACTCAATGACGTGGTATAGGTTACTACAAACCAACAAGATATTATAGTGACACTCAACATGTGTATTGTGTAACTTGGTATACTTCTGTACTGATTGTCATCTTCAGCTTCTTTATTTTCCTAACTGAACCTGAAAAAGAGCCCTATATAGTTCTATTACTATATAAAAAGAACCCTATAGTTCTATTACTATATTAAAGGAACCCAATAGTTTCATTACTTGTAGCTCTTTATTTAATTTTGTGGTCCTCAACAATTTTGCCCTGAAGTCTTATTAACACCAGCTGTATCTCTATAGGATTGACTTTATAACCTTGGAGGAGTATGGAGTTATTGAGTGGTGATTATCACAAAATGTTCATGTAATTATCTGATTATCTGATTACTTACTGATCATTGCAGTAATCAAACAGTAATCAAGCAGGGCTACTCTGCTTGTTTACCTGGTAACTGATTAATTGGTTAATTGTTTAATAAATGCATATCTTTGGTTGTAATTTTAACAACTTAGTACTTACTATACCTTCACTTAGGGGAATGATATACTGAGTTCAGTATCTAAAGTACAGTTTGTAAGGGCTCTGTGCAGTAGTAATACATTATGTGATGATGGACGCTAAGGTATTCGTACAATGTCTACTGAACCTGTCCGAACAAGCCTCTAATCTAGCATGGTAAGTTAATTGTTAGTTAATTGTTAGTTAATTGTTAGTTAATTGTTAGTTAATTGTTAGTTAATTGTTAGTTAATTGTTAGTTAATTATTAGTTAATTGGTTGATTTTATAAATGCTGAACTATGTGTTCGTTTTCTGCAAAATTACATTAAAACTGGCGATAATAAGTACTCGTTATTGTAAGTTAAATACTAACTCAGTGTCAGTAGTGTTGACTAAGGAATGTTGTTATTTAAGTTTAATAATGGTTGTTGTGATTATTCATATGTTGACTGTTGAGCATGTTGGCATTTCAGCAATAATTGCAGAATATACAGCCGATTACTCATGTTTTACATGTCAAGAACTATGATAGGCATTTACAGAACAATTGCCGAATTCCGCTCCAATTGTGCGTCAATTTGCAAAGATGTAAACATCTCAGAACATGTAATGAATGTTGCATTGTTGACAAAGGAAATGTCTCACTTGAATCGCGCGCAATTGAGCTAGTAGCTTTGAAACACGTGTTTAACATACAATATCTCGTGACACAATTTAACATATCACGTGACATAATATCCATAATATCCATCAAACCAAACATTGCCTCTACATAATATAAATATATAATAGCGACTATTTTCCAGTTTGGTACGAGATGATGAGCAGTTGAACGAACGACTGACTGCTTCCAAGTCAAAACGAATGAATGGAGAGGCTGACTTTAAAACACTAGCTGATGTCCTAATACAGTGTACTTTTAGTCATGGGCTCAAATCTAAGGTTTGTCATTTTAGTTGATATTTTGTTTATTTACTTGTTCTTTCATCAAGTTATTCATTCTTCGTTAGTTATTTTCCTGAATTTTATTTACTGATCGAGTTAGTTATTATTTATTAACTCATTACTAGGTTGAACCTAGGCAAGTTTAACTTAGTTTTAGAGTTATTCATCATATTATTGGTTATTCTATTGCCACTAAAGCTTTATTTATCTCTCTATGTAAATATGTGTGTGTACGAGTAGAACTATCTTTTACAGAAAGTATCTCTTAGAAATTAATTCCTAATGTTATCATCACCTTTTCGAAATATCTCCAGGAAATACCTTAAAATTATACTTATATTTAGCGATAAGGATTAAAGGTTCACATAAAAATGCAGTTTGTTCATTTATATACCAAAGAATTTGCTGCACGTAACTTAAACTGTAAGTTTAATGATATACAGCAATATTTCAGTTCCCAAACCACCAAATAAATGTGAGGGGAGAGGAAGACGGGAAATTTCCCTCTGAAGACGGGAAACAGGTTATACTGGAGATAACAGACGACGTTCAGAATACGAGGTAAGTCTATATTTCTAACTCTAATGGATTACGCTCTATTGTTGGATCTGGAGATAACTGCATATTATGTTCCGTAAAATTTGGCACTTACAAATTCGCTCAAACTTGCACAGATTATCTGTCTTATGGCCATATCTGGAAATATATGCCATGGTACCACTGCAAATCACCCATTTAGAAATATTCTCTTGTTTAAAGTGATATCTCAAATTTGGCTCATAGAAATTCACCCGAACATTCACAGATCATCTGTCTTATGACTATATAACTATCTGGAAGGTTTCGAGAAAGTCGTATATTCGAATCTGGAAAAAATCAAAAATATATTCACTAAAACACTGGATTTTCGAACTTGTCGAAAGTCCTTCTGGAAAGTTGCGAAATCTCGAAAGATTATGTAACGCGCGACGACATTTTAAAATATAAAACAATGTTAGACACTGTTTACAATAGTGGAATTAGCGCGCGCGAAGCAATTAAGTTCGTTTAAACTTTGTAGTGCATGGATGATATATCGAAATTTGAATTGATACTTAGAACTAGAAGATATTTAAGTTGCCTCAAAAGTCTGCTTAAAGAGTATTCTCACATTCGATGACTCATTTGTAGTCGAGCTTCATGGGACATTTCATTATTTTACATTTCAAGAGCTATTGAAGCTACAAACAAACTTACATCGTCCATTATAAGTCAAGGTTTAAGTTCGGTTAACATGACTAAACATTTCTCGGTCTTTCTGGTTCTTTTTCAACTAACAATAGAGGCAAGCGCCAGCTTTGCCTTTACTCTGGTGTACACAACAGATAACACAATATATTTGAACGATATATTTCAGGAACCTACTAGGTAAAGTTTTAAACGATAAGAGTATTGTGGAAAAGTTAAGTGGAGCAGTCCACAAGCATATAGAAGTACACGACGATCTGGTTAACAAAGTAGCTGGTGTTCATCTACCTGATGTACTCAATGTTTGGATCGACCCCATTGGTGAGAAAAGTTTGAAATTTTCAGGGGTTTTCAGTTTTTATTTTAGGTTTTTGGTTGTTTTATATAGTTTAATGGTTCGCTTATTATATGGCCAGGAAGGAGTAGTTACAGTTGTTAAATTTGTATCAATAATAAGAAACAGATACTGTAATAAATTGTAGGCTGAAGAAACTTATAGTTTCTCTCGCAATCAGAGACGATAATCAGAGATCTATTCAGCTTTATTCAGCTTTATTCAGCTTTATTCAGCTTTATTCAGCTTTATTCAGCTTTATTCAGCTTTATTCAGCTTTATTCAGCTTTATTCAGCTTTATTCAGCTTTATTCAGCTTTATTCAGCTTTATTCAGCTTTATTCAGCTTTATTCAGCTTTATTCAGCTTTATTCAGCTTTGCTACTTTTTCAGACAGCACCAAGAGCTTTATAAAGGGAGGAGAGAGTTTGGAGAGTGTAACTGTGTTAGTCGGGGTTCATCACGAGGGAGTACCAATCGTGGGTAAATAAAAACAAACAACACACTTATATATCTATAAATCAATCACTTGTTACTTAATTATAGCCCATCGGCGATTGGTTTATTTTCATTTTGCATATTTATCAAATGTTTTCAGTTTTAAATAGCTATATAAGGAGCTATAGAACAAAAGATTTACAATTATCCTTATTTAATTGAACATTTTATTCCTCAGGGGTAATGACTTATCCGTTCTCAAAACAGCAGATTTGGGGAGTTTGTTTTGAAGGAAGCTGTGTAACTAGTGTTCCTAAACCTGTAGTTAACAGTATGATTAAGTAAGTTACTGTTAATTAGTTACTTTTAATTACTGTTAACGAGTTGGATTATTAATCAGTTATTTTTAGTAATGTTATAATCAGTTATTAATCTAACGAACTTTTAAAAGTTTTTGAAGTTAAATTTTATTATTATTATTGCTCTAATGACCACTTTACAGGACAGTTTTTGTGAGTAATCTTGAAACCGAACAGAATCGAGACAAATTAAGAAGTCAAGGATACCAGGTATACTTTATAAACTCTGCAGGTCTATTTAAGGGGGGGGGGGTTCACCCTGAACACCCCCCCCCCCCCCCCCCTTAAAGCTGAAACTTTATAAACTCTGCATTTAAAGCTGAAATGTTTTCATAACTCAATAACTGTTTGACAGATTTATTACTCAATCGAGCAGTCTTTTAGTATTATATGCAGCTGAGTTGAGAAGTTTACACTGATTTTTATAATATAATACTTTTGGACACGATCAGGGAAACACACAACGTAAGGCTTGAAATCTTCGTAAAACTACATCATTAGAGCCTTAAATTATTTGTTATATAGTAGTGTTAAAAGTATTAAATAATAATAATAACTTGTAATAACTGAGATTTATATTCTTCAGGTGGAAACACCAACAGGAGCTGGGTTCAAATTAGGCGGTATAATACTGGGGACAGCCTCTTTTTACTACGTGTCCAAGAAAAGGTTGAGTTATAAGCAAAAATATTGATTAAAAAGAAGAAATATATATATATGTATAATACATTTATTAATGTTTTTGTGATTGTGATTTGGATGATGTATGTTATTATCACGTCTCAACAACACGTGGTCATCATAATATCACGTGGTAACCATGTCATCACGTGGTAACCATGACATCACGTGGTTACCATAGTAACCCTATTAACCATACCTTCTTCTCCGCAGCACATACCAATGGGACACGTGTGGACCGCACGCTATAATCCGGGCTATGGGAGGGGAAGTAGTGCACATATCCACCCCCGACACAGCTATCTTCTACAACGACAGCATGGAGCCTAACGAGGGGTTTGTAGCTTACTTAGACAGGCAGGGGGCGGAGAAACTGCTGGAGTCGCTGAAATAATGTTTAAATAAGTAGATAATATTCAATTAAATGATGTTTAACTTTATATGAATCGTTGTTTTAACGATTGCTGATTGGCGTACTTTTTGAAATACTATTTCATGTTAAGTTGGTTAGTTGTTAATTTTTAAATGTTACTGGTGGATTGCCGTGATATTTGAGCTGTGATGATTCAGGAATTAATGATATTCCACTGTTTTGTCCCATAAACAAATATAAATACAGCTTTTATTTGTGGGAGGGGTTGTTCACATGTGTAATCACTGAGGGGGAAGGAGGGGCTTCTTAATGATTACGTTCGTGTCATTTTAACACAATAGCTATATTTAAAACTTATTACGGAGGGAGGGGAGGGGGATTAAAAATGGACCAAAAAGTGATTACATAATATGTGAACGACCCCTTACGTGTGTCAACACACACGTTATTTTGTAAATGGGGACATCTTGATCGGAGTTGGGGTTTTTCATTTACGTTTTCAACATATTACGACGATTTTAGTTTTATCACCCGCTTTTAGTTTTAACATGTATATTTATTTAGTTTGTGCTTCAAGAGTCGCACTGTCACGATTATGTAAATAATTTCATGGCGCTATCTGAAGACCTGCGGATTAATATTTGATTGGGCACACAAAAATATCGTGCAATTTGATTGGATACTAGTTGTCACGTGTTAAATAAGAAACCCGCGTGCCGCGTACTTCATATCCTTGGATGGCTCCATTTAGTTAATGTTATCGATTTGTGCTGATATATTAATTATTTAAGTGATATTTGAATTATTTATTGGCAAGTTACAATTAAATCTGTAGATTTTTAGTTATGTTATGTAGTTAGATTTTCTAAACACAAATGACATGTGATGAAAAAAATATTAAATAATGATCTAAACTCAGTAAAGTAATAAATTTTTCGCTGCTGGTAGAATATCTAACTAAATTACTTCCGGTTCAGCTAATATAATAAAATATTGCGAATATAAAATATCAGCTAAAACAATAAAATATTACTCGATCGTCGTTCAACTTGAGTTCAGCTAGTATGATGTGCTTTTAGCTTAGTAGGAGTTGTTCACATATTACGTAATCAGCCGAGGGGGGGCCGGGGAGGGGGTTTCCAAATGATTACGCTAATGTAATTTTGACACAATAGCTATGTGTAAAACTGATTACGGAGGGGGGGGGGGTTGAAAATTGGCCAAAAATTGATTACGTAATAGTAATACTAATATGTGAACGATCCCTTATGCTTATCTTATAAAGTTCGTACCGCGCCAAGGTATTCTTAATCTTAAAGTTAAAAGTAAATATTATCTTTAAAGTAATTATTATTGTCTTGTGTTCTTGTGGCAATCTCGGTTTTTTCTCACCGAATCAATAACGAAAGCATTGACACGTGTCTGATAAAATGTTTCTGTTTAAATAATATATAAGTAAGTATACATATCTTGGCTGTTTAAATTTAATCAAATACATACCGTATAACATTGTAAAGCTGTACGATAAGTCATTCAATTCAATTTTAATATGTGTATCTCTATTTGTAACCTAATAAATATGAATCAACCAAAAAATATTAATAATTTTTCAAAATCTGTCTAATCCACAGTATATTATTGTTGCGCGATGCACTAGTACTACTAGCTGGGTCGCGCCGCTCATCAAAAAATGTTTCTTGCAACCACATCTCGGTAGATCAGCGAGATGCACCACTCATGGGCCACGTCGAGCTGCGAATTGTTCTATCCAGAGCCCTTGCGCTTGTAGTAACTTGAAACAAGAGCACCGGCGCGAAAGCACATAGTTAGGTGAAAGTTGCGATAGGATTGACATCGTGAATCATAGTATATTAATATTATGACTGGTAGTTTTAGTGGGGGCGGTGTAAAAGCAGGAAATGAATGTAACGGATATGTAACTCTTGATGGAGATCTGGTAACGGGTAGACATGTCTGTTGTCATAGTGACATCACGTGGTGTTGTGATGACGTTACGTGGTGTTTTGATGACGTCACGAGGTGTTGTGATGACGTCACGTGGTGTTTTGATGACGTCACGTGGTGTTTTGATGACGTCTCGTGGTGTTTGATGACGTCACGTGGTGTTGTAATGACGTCACGTGGTGTTGTAATGACGTCACGTGGTGTTCTGATGATGCATGATGTTACGTTATGGAAGCAGGGCTGATAGGTAGCCGAGGTATTACTTTTCTTAACTGGGAGATCTGGTTAGTCTGATTGGGGGATCAGTAAATACGGGGAGTACAGCAGCTGTAGATACTTCCTCTTTAGGCAGGCCGCAGGTAGTGCTGACAACCCGTCATGGTGGTACTAGGTGACGTCTTGGCAACACCTCGTATCGCTATATCAACGGGAATGGGGTTTGAGCTGCCATTATAATTTATACAGAGAGTCTGATCACTTCTTCCTACCACCTTTTGTAGTTGTGTATTGAGAAACCGTCTGAACCTGCGTTATTTTATATGTTAATTTGACCAAAACCCATAATCATGGGTAGAGTGAACCGCTGCCAGTGTCTCTCTTTTCCAAACAAAAGAAAATGATATTAATTTGAGGAACCGTCCGCAAATGCAAATTGATACCGAGAATGAAATCGGTCGCTCGCTTTTCCCATTCATTCACGGCTTACGTATTGTAATAAAGCTTATACGTAAGCCGTGAATGAATGGGAAAAGCGAGCGACCGATTTCATTCTCGGTATCAATTTGCATTTGCGGACGGTTCCTCAAATTAATATCATTTTCTTTTGTTTGGAAAAGAGAGACACTGGCAGCGGTTCACTCTACCCATGATTATGGGTTTTGGTCAAATATCATCTCTTTTTGATTATAATGTCAGGATAATTTACACAGTCGAAACTTAATAAGGAGGTAATTTCAACGATTTCGAAATTTTACCTTTTAAAACGTTTCCTTGTGTTTAGGTAGGCATATCTGTCAATAACAGAATGAATATAGCACTTTTTACTCATTCAAGTTGGCATTAAATTCATATATAATGCCATTTAAATATCGTGGGAAAGCAGAATATATTCGAAATCACGAATGAGCAAAATTCTCACCTTTCGCACGTGCAAACTTTGAGCGGACGTTGCGTGCGCATAAAATATTGAATCACCATAAATTTTTGCATAGTGTTATTTAATATATAGTTTGATAAGCATGAAAAGTTTCAGAAGATTTCAAAAAGAACTTGGATCACAACGGGACTCCAAAGTTGGTAAAAATCGTGAAAATAACAATTTTCAGTGATTTTAGCTATTTTAAATGAATTTGGGCGTGTCCCCACGTGTGCAACTTTTCGATTTTCAACTTTAAAACTAGCCTATAACACAATTTAGACCTTTAGGAAGCAAAATTGAGCTCCACAACCCAAGGGATGGCCCAACACCAGAGAATACTAATTCACAACTTTTGTGTTTTTATAAAATTATTCTTCAAAAAAGCACTAACTTCAATAGCGAATATCTTTATGAAGAAGCAAGGTAGGAAAACTTTCCGGTAGATTTTCAGAATGCTTGAACAATTATCTAAGATGAAAATGTCCTCAGATTTTGAATAAAATTACTCCTTAATGCTTTAAAATCGATTTGAAAAGTTGTTATTTTGTCAAAAATCAAGTTTTAAAAACACTTAAATTGATGACGTCATCAAGTGATGATGATGACGATAAATTATTTTTCGATATAATGTAAACTAAAGTATAAACAATTATCTTTAAAACCTGTGGTTCGAAATGACTGTATCTTTTATACTTTTGAATCTACGGACACTTAAATGTAGGCTACAATTTACTGCAAAAGCGTCTATACATACATATATATATAGCTTCACGACAATCTGTTGTAAAACAGGGGTTCCAGAAAACCCACTTCCCGATACTCCTGCAACATGAAATTTTTTTTACAGTCGATTCGGACAAGGTCTAGACGCTCTGCAAAGTTTCAGATCTCTAACTCAATTTTAACATGGTTTTTAAGGCACCTGAATATGGCGATTTTGGGTTTTTTACCTAATTTCGTATAACATGCTGGCGCGTATTTTGCGCAAATTTCTTAAAAACCTCCACATAACTATTTCTTATTCCTGTCATCTTTAACATTGAATTAGAATGTTTTGAACTTAAATATACCTGCTGAACTACTTTCGATGAGTCTTAATGCCTGGAAAACAATAAAGGGGATATAATAGTATAGGGGGTACATAGTGTTGTGAATATAAGGGCAACGGTTATGCTTGCCAGCATTGTGATATCTGAGATTTTAAAGACTCTATTATAGTATTATAGATGGTTTGGAGACAATTCATGATCTGTAAAAAGAGATAACTTTGGTTAAGCTATTTAGTTTGGTCACTGATTGGTCACTGATTGGTCACTGATTGGTTTATTGTTGTCACATGTCTAACGAACAGTACCTAGTATTGGTAAAGGTGTAGATGATGGGATTAGTAGCAGAGTTAAGGAATAACAGCTCTAGCTGGGTCACAAAATACCACGAGGGAATCGTACCTGGGTTGTAGGGTTATTAATAAGTGTAATTAACTGTTAATTAATTAAAGTGTAATTAATAAATATTACAGGTAAAGGATTGTTGGGCTTGTACTCGAGAATGAATTATTGTTTTTTTTCAATCCTGTTTAGAATCCTAGATGAATAACCTTTGAAAAGGGTCTGAAGAAGGACTCTAGCGAAGGTGGGGGTAGTGAAGATCAGGAAAGAGAGGGAGATGGAAGTCAGAGTTGTCAGCGCGGCTTTACTCGGCATCTGTTGGAAACATCACTGATTAAATAGTTTTAATTAACCAATATCAGTGTCCTCTATAATTCTATAATTGACCGATGAAAACCCAGTATCACTGTCACGTGTCTAAGGTTCGACCGGGATCCCGGCTTAATCCCGGTCAAAAATCGACCGGGAATCCCGGTCCCAGCTAAAATGCCGAATTTTGACCGGGACCGAACCGAATTTAGACACGTGACGCGTCTAACAAATGGCTCACCAGAATTTATATTTATGTAACTGAGTAACTCAAAATCTATAACAAATAACTGTAACTTAACTTACGGTTTGTAACGGAAAGAATGGGGCTGGGGTATGAATTACCAAATATTCCACAAACTTAGGAATCTTTGAAAAACAATTTTTGCAACATGAGCTGCCTTATCAGCAATACCTCCGTGGTGCCAATGTCTGCACTGCTCACTGCTGCTTCAGTCACACTTGTATCCAATTTGGTAACCTTCTTCGCTTATTTTCTATTTTCTGGGTTACTAATTATACTACTTGTTTCCTCCTAATGTAACTAAATTAACACTGGAATTTAGTTTTGGAGAGGAGATATCTCGAACTTATATTCATTTTGTTTTCTAGTGACGACTGTTCAAAGGCACCGTTAGTTAGGTCGTTTTAGTGAATCAGAATGGAGCAGAAAAATGTTCCAGACCTTAAAGATGAGATGAAGATGGAAGAAGAAAGTTTTCCACCAGAATTGATCAAGACAGAGATTAAGAAGGAGTCCGAAGATAACTTATCTATTAAATCAGAAGTGTATTCGAATGGTGTTTCTCAGTTGTATTGTCCCAATCAGGAATCAGCATTAGTTCCACACCAATTGGTTTATACCAGTAAAACTGCTTGCATTCGCTCTGAATGTTCCTACAGTGCTTCCAGAAAAAAGTCTTTAGTTTCCCACCAAAGCGTTCATACCGGCATAAAACCTTTCAAATGCTCTGAATGTTCCTACAGTACAAGCCAAAAATCATCTTTAATTTTACATCAGAGGACTCATACCGGTGAAAAACTGTTTAAATACTCTGAATGTTCCTACAGTGCAAGCCGAAAATCAGAATTTGTTAAACATCAGCGGACTCATACCGGTGAAAAACTGTATAAATGCTCCGAATGTTCCTTCAGTTCAAGCCAAAAATCAAACCTGCTTAATCATCAGATGACTCATAACGGTGAAAAACCGTATAAATGTTCTGAATGTTCCTACAGTGCAAGCCAAAAATCAAACCTGGTTTGCCATTATATGACTCATACCGGTGAAAAACCGTATAAATGCTCCGAATCTTCCTTCAGTTCAAGCCAAAAATCAAACCTGCTTAATCATCAGATGACTCATAACGGTGAAAAACCGTATAAATGTTCTGAATGTTCCTACAGTGCAAGCCAAAAATCAAACCTGGTTTGCCATCAGCGGACCCATACCGGCGAAAAACCGTTTAAATGCTCTGAATGTTCCTACAGTGCAAGCCACAGATCAAAACTTGCTTACCATCAAATGACTCATAACGGTGAAAAACCGTATAAATGTTCTGAATGTTCCTACAGTGCAAGCCAAAAATCAAACCTGGTTTGCCATCAGCGGACCCATACCGGTGAAAAACCGTTTAAATGCTCTGAATGTTCCTACAGTGCAAGCCACAGATCAAAACTTGCTCACCATCAAATGACTCATAACGGTGAAAAACTGTATAAATGTTCTGAATGTTCCTACAGTGCAAGCCAAAAATCAAACCTGGTTTGCCATCAGCGGACCCATACCGGTGAAAAACCGTTTAAATGCTCTGAATGTTCCTACAGTGCAAGCCACAGATCAAAACTTGCTTACCATCAAATGACTCATAACGGTGAAAAACCGTACAAATGTTCTGAATGTTCCTACAGTGCAAGCCAAAAATCAAACCTGGTTTGCCATCAGCGGACCCATACCGGTGAAAAACCGTTTAAATGCTCTGAATGTTCCTACAGTGCAAGCCACAGATCAAACCTGGTTTGCCATCAGCGGACCCATACCGGTGAAAAACCGTTTAAATGCTCCGAATGTTCCTACAGTGCAAGCTTAAAACAAACCCTAGTTAAACATCAGATGACTCATACCGGTGAAAAACCGTTTAAATGCTCTGAATGTTCCTTCAGTGGAAGCCACAGATCAACACTTGCTTACCATCAAATGACTCATACAGGCGAAAAACCGTATCAGCGGAACGATATCGAAAGGAAATCACATCATTCTCACGAAAGCGGTCAGGCTTCGAATTACGTCCAAAACAGTTGCGTTGGAGGACCCATTTTTGTTAAGCCTCTACCTTTCGTGAAGCCTCTCACATTTGTAAAGCCCCTGAACTTTTCTGACCCCTTTCTTTCCAGTTCCAGATTAATTCCCAGTTTCTTCTCCAGTTATCAACCTTGCAGCTCCTCTCACCTTCTCACCTGGTGAATCTGTTGTCACACCTTATACCTACTCTACAACGTTTCCTTCTCCCTTTCATATTTCCTGCCAGTACAGCGACCATGGGACGTAACAAGAAATGCGGCCGCTTTTCTTTTGTGGATGGCCGCTCAATTTCCCGATCCGTGTTTGAGTATTTGATCATATTCCATACCACCTGGGGACCCCAGTCTTTACTGTTTATAAGCATGCAGATAAGGCGGAGTGACAGGCCGAGCGCCGCCCAGTTGATATAATTCCATATTTAATTTGAAAATCGTGTATATTTCTATGTAACCATATGTTTATTGTTTATGCAACCTGACTAGACACGGATCTGTGCAAAATAGTAATACTAACTCAAAATAATAATACAATGCTATCAATTAGTCCCTAGCGGGATGCGTACATGGTGAAATTAACAATGTACTTGAACATTTCAGCACCGCGCGCAAACAATTGTTTAATTCAGATTTTCGCGCAAAATAACTTTGCGCAGGCAGACACGTGGGCGACACGTACGCACACTCGCAGGTGCGGACGAAAGCTACCATATACAAAAAAAAACTTCGTTCGCTAACCCTTGTCCTTGACTCTTTTGTGCCTTCGGCACTTTGAGTCATGGATCGGGAAAAAAATCTTATGGCATAGTCTGCTACTTATTCGTTTATAAGTTTACAATGCATGGAGTTAGTTCCTCTTGGAACTATACATTAATCTTATAGTTATTGTGAGGGAAGTACAAACGATAAAATAAACTATCAGCAGTTTTACACACTGCCCCCAATGTAAAAATATAAAAATTAAGCTGAACGATTTGCCAAATTTTCAGCATTTTGATACTGGGTATACTCTTAGGTACAATTCACTTAAATATAAACATAACGATAAAGATAATGCCGATTTGATGTATGAATTTGTATCTTTGACTGCTAATCGGATAGTGCTGCGTGGAAGCACAAACAATTAACCGAGTAAGGAATGCGCGGGCCCGAAAGGTTTTGCACACACTAAAATGCTAGACGTTAGTTCGGATGAGTTTTAAATTGTTGACTAAGATCAGGGTTCTGTTTAAAGTTTTTATTGTGGATTAAGCAGTCTTGCTGTGACAGAAAGTTTATAATATTTTGTGATTCAAAGGGAACATTGCAATAATTCGAGAGTTTTATTTGTGTTCTTATATCGAGCTAACTGAAAACACCTTTAAGTTTAAGGCCCGATTCAGTTTATACACAAGCTCCTTAAAACTCGAGAAGCTGCGAAATCAGAGGGAGTTATCATAGTTTTAAATTTAAATTGCAAATCAGCGCCTTAAATACAAATCTCTCATTTCATTCTCGGTATTATTTTGCATTTACGGACGGTCATTAATCATTAATATCATTCGGGAACGAGAGACACTGGCAGCGGTCTGTATCTAATTCTAAAATAGATACATACATATTATATACATATACAGATACTTCACGGCAATCTATCGGAAAATAAGGGTTCCAGAAACCCACTTCCCGATACTCCTGAAACTTGAAACTTTTTTACAGTCGATTTGGTCAACATCTAAACGCCCTGCAAAATTTCAGATCTCTAACTCAATTTTAACATGGTTTTTAAGGCACCTGAATATGGCGATTTTTGGTTTTTTACCTAATTTCGTATAACAGTGCTGGTGCGTATTGAGCGCAAATTTCTTAAAAACCTCCACATATCAATTCCTTTCATCTGTGACATTGAATTAAAATGTTTTGAACTTAAAATATGCCTGCTGAACGACTTTCGATGAGTCTTAATGCCTGGAAAAACAGTAAAGGGGGTATAATAGTATAGTGGGTAAATAGTATGGTGAGTATAATGGCGGCGGTCGTGCTTGCCATGAGCACTGTGATTAAATAGGAGAAGAGAACTTATAAGTAAATATAATTAATATATATATATATTATTTAATACTTTCAACACTACTATATAACAAATAATTTGAGGATGACTGTAAAGGTACATTTTACCGACATTTGAAGTCAAGGCGTTGTTTTACTGATAGTTGTGGCTAACTAATAATATATATATATATATAAATATAATATATATACTTACTAACTGCAGGGGTGGGGGCAACAGTCAGTGTACATGCGTTGGATCTTATACAGTTCAAGTACTGGGATCTCTATCATAGGACTATGAAAATAATATTATAACTGGACATGAACTACTGTTTTAATTTCCACAAGTAAGAAGTCAGAAACCATTTCCAAATAATTTGAATTAATTTGATGAGAAATTGTTAAGTAGGATGGGTATGATTTGTTGTTCTCTTTCCACAATCAGTGTAGAGAGCAACAACGTAATTAGTACGCGACTTACCTTGCACGTGACTTACCTTGCACGTGAATTACCTTGCACTTTGCACGTGACTTACCTTGCTCTTCTTTTTGCTGCTCCGATAAACTATTCTCAAGATGTAAGCGTTGGAGAGTAGTATAGTTGTGATGGGGAGAAGGACGAAGAGAACGAGCGCTACTAAAGCAGAGATAACCATGGACTTTCTGGGATCCGTTTGACCTGGTGGAGAGGATTGAATTAATAAATTAATAAGTTAATTAGTTAATTAGTTAATAAGTTAATTAGTTAATTGGTTAATTGTTTAATTGGTTAATTGGTTGCTTGGTTAATTAGTTAAGTAATTAAGTGTTACCATGGTAACAAATACATTACAGCCAAAATATCACCTGATATCTGGCAAGAAAGAAGATAAGGATCAAAGTAGTAAAACTGTCCCATCACCAGGCAGCAGAACATGTAAAATGTAGAAAACGCCGTCACTCCTGGATGGGTGGTAATCATTGTGCAATTATTATTTATTATTGAGCACCAGCGTATTCGGTAGAATACAATTTTTGGTAATATCTTATCGGACTTTATTTGACCGGACATTGCGTGAACGCGGACACGGTAGTGTTACCTTATCTGATAAGTCTGTTTAATCGAACAAGTTAACAAACAAACAAACAAGCTTGAGATTAGTACCTGCTACAAACAGTTTGGCTTGTTTAGAAGTTAGAGAATACGAGGAGAGAGGTCGGAGTAAGGTGAACAGTTTGTAGAGAGAGATAGTCTGGATAGTTATCAACTGTGTAGAGTTGGTGGTTAGACTGAGAATAGAAACGTTTTACCTTATATGGTAGTGTTACCACAGCAACACTACCTTATATGGTAGTGTTACCATGGATACTATATACCCTACGTAAATTACGAATACGTAAACACAAACCTGGATAAAGATGGTTATGTAGCTGACATTTCCTTGAATGAAGCACACTGCTGCACCTGTGATAAAACCTGAGTAACCACACCCAACTATCTTTCTGATCAGTTTATTTAACTAATTTTTAAGAAAATTTAAATACAGTAGTTGATGATGATCCATAGTTCAACCCTAGGTTGTATTTAGTTTATTTCCACATGTTTTCACATATTTTCACATGTTTTTACATATTTTCACATATTCACATATTCACATATTAATTATACATGCATTGTTACACTTAGGTTTAAGAACTGCTCACCTAAGATGAATTTGTTAGCGGCAAGGGTGATAGCAACAGGTAAACTGTAGCTAAAAGCAATGATAAGGTCCAAGATAGCCAACATCTCAACAAACACTATGGAGATACTGTCCACGTTTACTTCGTTATACAGGCGCGAACTGGCAAACACCGTCAGGTTACCTGCGCAGTTACCATGGTAACACTTTGCAGGTTCACAATCACGTGATAATCACGTGATACCGATGATTACCGTGGTTAATTCACGTAATAAGTTGATGTATTATAATCAGCAAATAAAAACATTACACGATTAACTAAAGTGTTCACACCGATTATAGACAGATAATTTATCAAAATAAACAGATAATTTGTCAAAATAAACAGCGTAGTTTAAACTGTGAAACTGTGAAATTAAGTGCCGTATAATGGCACACACCCAAATCCCCAATATTAAGATATTCTAACGTATTTACAGATGGAGATTTACCAATAACTGTAAGTAGTAGAACTAGAGAATGGTAGGTAACCAGGAACCAGTAGCCTGCTTCTGGGAATCCCAATGTTTTGTTGATGTTGGAAATATTGGTGATGTTTGTTGTGTCGACCAAGAGCATGTTGAGCTATAAGAGTATAAGCATATTAGTATAACATGATAATTTTAAAGTTTTAATACTTCCGCAACACTACTATAAAGAAGTTAAACTGCAAATGCAATTAGTCCACAACTAATTAACTGATTAACTGATTAACTAATCCAATTAGTCCCTGACTCCATAACAGTGGCGTAACGTTGCCTGTTGTCGCCCCCGCAAAAAGCGCCCCCCTGTTGGCGCCCCCTCCCCTTTTGGTGCCCCTCCCTAGGATTTAACAAATTAGGTGATTTTAGAGGATACGCCGGTAGAGTCTCTAAAAAAGTGTGTGTCTAGAGCAAAACGCGCTTTTTTGCTAGTACTTCAGTTAAGTTTTTGAAATTGTCCCACATTCAAACGACGATTTGGCGCCCCCCTAAGACGGCCCCCACCCCCCCCCGCACAGCGGGGTCAGCGGGGCCCTTCGTTACGCCACTGCTCCATAACACGAGGACTTGTTTTAATTCTAAATGAAAAGCTCGAATAATATGTTAATATGTTAAAAACACCACATTGAAGCCGAACAACTCTGGAACTATACTGTTCTTGATAATTGGCGAGAAAGAAAATCAAATGGACCGCACAGGTGTTTTAGCTGAGCTACAATTTTACAGTACCTACGTGGACCAAATTTATGATAACGCCTAATGCCTATGATCTAAATTGTTTTGTAATAGCTGACGCCCGCAGTGCAATCTAAATTATCATATATTTCAAACAAAGAGGAACATTCAATTAGGCGGAAAAACGATCCGTTTCATGATATGTATAAAACATAGTTGGTCAGTACGCACTGTACGAACTTTTAAAAGGTGCCGAACTGTACGAATTTTAAAAAGCTGTCGAGGAATTTTTACCGAATTTTATGAACAAATTTTGTTTTGGAGAAAATTTTACACTTCAGATTTACAATATTAACAGGTGATACTGATAGCAAAGTTGATGTGACTTATTGCATTGATTTCCTTGATAAAGTTGAGAAGTGATTTTCATGCTTACTAATACTTCAGTTATACAATTTGTATCATTTGTCAAAACACAAAACTTAAACCCCTCATATTTCAAATTATAAGATTTTTGTAGTTAGCTTTTCGAAAATTTATGAGGCGAATTTTTCCCGAACTAATCCCGAACTTTTAAAAGGTGCCGAACTGTACGAATTTTTTACAAATTTTGTACGAACTGACCAACTATGGTATAAAACAATACCAATCATCAGTGCACATATTTTATATATATATATATTATCATAATATAGCACAAGTAGGGCAGCTGAGATGACTTGGAGAAATTTGTGATTTAACTAATTCAAATCGTCAACAAATGAGATGATTGGTAATCGTTTGTTCGAGTTACACGTCTATGGTGGTCTGCTGGCGCTGAATCATTTTACTTTATTATAGGCGAAATTGTGTTGAATAAATTAAAAATGAGTCATGACTTAAATAGTCTCTAAATGGCATCAATGTTAGTTTCTTTCATAAATTTATGAACCATAATATAAATTTACCTACAAAGCTCAATATGGAATCTTTTCAGCTTATGAATTTCAGAAAATTAATCGAAACCTCCTGTTTTATTAATTATTTGAACATCAGAAAGGTTGGTTTCGACTTTTGCCAACCATTATTTTATAAATACAAGAGCTGTGATTGGTAAATACCAAAGGTTAAGGGTCACGGCAAAGCTCAATTTAGGAATTGGAGAATGCTGATAGGAACAGTACGTGCTAATTTTATGGCCGTTGTCAGAAACTAAAATTAAAGGCTGATGTGTAGTATAGTAATAGAATACTGAATAGAACAAGAAACATTACTTGAATAGGCTTTCTCCACAGCTACAATTTTTTCCGGCGAGAAAAAATCCAACTGTTAATTAAAGAATCAGGCAATTTTTTAAATATCTAAGATCTTGCTCGAATAAGAGTTTCTCATACATTTATAGTAATTTAGCTGCAAGTTAAACATTATATAAACTACCTTATAATGAAGATAATTCGTAGGGAAAATAACAAGTTTCCCGAAGGTTTACCGACTATAACTTTTATAAACTTAAACTTCGGAGGCATGTAAGATTATATCCAAAGTTTGTTCGCCAATGGGGTGTGTCTGGGTGTCAAAGATCTTCAAGGTGGGTGCTACTTGTGATGAACTCTAGAAGGATGGGATGGTAATACTTGGTCTGGCCGTCTGGAAGCCCATAGAATTCCAGTTCAGAAACCGAGTAAGGAGGTGCGGCTATAACCATGATGAGAAGCCTCCTTAAAGTTTATTTGGGTTAGAAACGACATCTGGGTCCCTACCCTCGCACAAGATAATTCTCAATTTTCTTGATCTTGTTGTGTTCCACAAAAAGTGCAAACAACGCCTGGTCACGCACAGTATTTTGATCTGATATAGCAAAACAAAATACCAGTTGAAATAATGAGTTATCGGCGGCGAACACATACGAAGAAAATTATAATCGTTTAAAATCTAAAAAACTTCAGTACCAGTACCACCCGTTTGACAATATTGTCCTATAATTATCCTTCTTGGCTTATAATTATCAGTAGCTAAGAAGGATCGTTACAAGATGAGATCAGTCAGACAAGAAATCAAAGCGATAACCAGATGGCCTTGCAATAATTACTCTTTATTATTAGAGGTGGACTGGACCAACGACAAAAACTCTTGTTATAACTCTCGAACATGAGGTTATAATTATTTTTCGCTAAATTCAAAGGAAGTTAGAAAACAAATTTCTGTATACTTATCATTATGGTTGTCCTGAAGTTCAAATCTTTCTAAATTTGTACTTATCAATATAAAACTAAAAGGTAAAGCTCATGAACCAGTGCTCAATTATATGTGTTGTATTGCTCAGTTAAAAGCTGGGCTAGCCCAGTTAGGGCCTTAAAGTTATGATTTGTTCGGGACTTGTGATTTGCAGAACCAAGGGCGAGGCATCAGACAGCTGCAACTTGGTCACGTAACAGTTTTTATAGGTCACAACTCACGTGCCAGTGTTTTAATCTTTGTCCACCAATAATCGAAAGCTTATGAAGGAGTTCGGACTGTGTCAGGGTTATTATATAGTTTCGGTTGTTTATAATAGCCATATAACGTGTTAAAAAACATGTAAGAATTTTTTAAATGTAAGATTTTGAGAAGAGTCTGAGAGGGTGAGAGTGTCTAAAAAGGGACGCTATAATTATATTGAACGAGAGAGAAAATTACAAGTCGACTGTCGAGCAGTCGAGGTAGATATTACAACATTTTATCAAGATCAAGATATCACTAGAGAATAATTTGATAATTCATCTAAAAGACTTTATTTCATCAATTACGTCGGCAAGTTTTTTAGCCATTTTTGAAGAAGTCAGCTAGGCCCAGACCAGCAAGGCCCAGACCAGCAAGGCTCAGACCGGCAAGGCTCAGACCAGTAAGGCCCAGACCAGCAAGGCCCAGACCAGCAAGGCCAAGACTAGCAAGGCCCAAACCAGCAAGGCCCAGACCAGCAAGGCCCAGACCAGCAAGGCCCAGACCAGCAAGGCCCAGACTTGCTGCACTATTTGCCAAATTTGCCGCACACCGGCACACCTGCTGCACCTTAAACATTTTTGGCAAGGGCGGAATCGCACTTTTCGCCGCACTGAAATATTCATGTCTCTGTGAGATAGGGAGGTTCTAATCCACTAATCGAACTGATATACCTTATCGGACCTTATTTGGACGGACATTAATTGAACGCTGGAGGCCCTAACGTTCATCTTAATGTCCGTTCAAATAAAGGTTAATACTTAATAGCCGGTCAATAGCCGGTTAATAGATGGTTAATAGCTGGTTAATAGCCGGTTTATAGCAGGTTAATAGCTGGTTTATAATTGATTTATAGCTGGTTAATAGCCGGTTAATAGCCGGTTAATAGCCGGTTAATAGCTGGTTAATAGCCGGTTTATAGCAGGTTAATAGCCGGTTAATAGCCGGTTAATAGCTGGTTAATAGCCGGTTAATAACTGGTTAATAGCCGGTTAATAGCTGGTTAATAGCTGGTTTATAGCTGATTTATATCTGGTTATAATAGCCGGTTTATAGCAGGTTAATAGCAGGTTAATAGCTGGTTTATAGCCGGTTAATAGCTGGTTAATAGCCGGTTTATAGCAGGTTAATAGCCGGTTAATAGCTGGTTTATAGCCAGTTAATAACAGGTTTATAGCCGGTTTACAGCCGGTTAATGGTCTGGTAATAGCCGGTTAATAGCAGGCTAAAATCCAGTTAGAGTTCTTAAATCATCACTCATCCTAATTGCGCAATTACTGGTTAATAGCCAGGTAATAGCCAGTCAATAGTTGATAAATAACCAATTATTAGCCAGTTAAATCTCACATTCAGTTGATAAAGTTGATGTAAATAGATTAGACGATTAGTAAACTAAAAAAATCAAAAATTTCATGTGAAACTGGTTGAACTTTTATTTGAATTAAATTCAATTTTGATTGTAGTGTATTTTAATGCTTTGTACAATTAACTAATGCGATATTCAGGAGCCTGAAGTGGGCCAATGTTCAAATCTTACCTATTACTTTAGAATCTTTCTAACTAAATATCACGTGACATCTTATAACCCAACATATATAAACCTAGCCCAAACTAATTTCTTATCCTAATACATCTTTCAAATCAGAACATCTATTATCTTATTATTAACAAAATCTGTAAACGCCAAATCCAGAATACTCCGTTTCAATTAACTTTATAACCCAAAGTGTATTAAACTGGGACCGTAAAAATGTTAACTCCATTAATACTGTGCTCTAAAATTTACAGTACATGTACTAACCTTTTTAGTTCATGTACTAACCACTTACTTAAACCGAAAAATTATTTTTATTGCCTAAAATCCCAGTTAAATAAATACTAACCTTACAATGGCACAAAGACAAACAGGTATGATAAAATCAATTTTCACCTTGCAAAATGCAAATAAAAGTCTCATAATCTTGT